GCTATCCAGACATTTGTTATTCATGTAAGGAGGTGATAGTGTGGAACACAATGCCACGGGATCTCCAGGGACGAGGAATTACTGCCTCTGACACACACACACACACACACACACACACACACACACACACTTTGTTTATTTGATTGTGACATTACTAGAAGTCAACCCCAAAAGCATATTTTGTCAGATTCTGCTCACTTCTGGGTACAAATATGGCAGATAAGTAGGTACACACACACACACACACACTTCATGCGCTGCTGCCAAACTCCAATGGCTCTCCACTGGGCTTCAACAACAACCACTGGGGCCAAACGTTGTCTAAATAAATAGTTTAACCAATGAACGAAAATTCTTTATTTACTCACCCTGATGTCATTCCAAACCAGTATGCTGTTATTTTGGTCCATTAAAAAAACCTAAAAGAATCATTCCTGAAAAATCTTCATGCAGCTCTTTTGATGTTTTTCATACAGACGGCAGTTCATAGAGCACATCCCTGAAATAAAAGGTGGCCCACTGGAATAAAGATCAAATTATATCGATTTATAATTATATCGGTAATTGATCGATATGAAATCACAATTGCAATATGGCTTAGTGGGATTATCAAATTGCAAAGGTGAAGGTTTCATGCATGTCACTGTGTTCTTCTACAAGCACGATTCACCGTTTTAGCATCTCAGAGCAGTAATTAAGTATTTTTTTTAAATTATTATTAGAAATTATAATTATAGAAATTAAAAGCATATACAAAGCAGAATAAAGAATTAATGATGATACAGACATGCAATGTACACAAATATACAAGTATTCATGTAACAATAAAAGTAAAATGTAAATCAGGGAAGAAAGAGAGGAAAAGAAAAAAAAAAAAATTTGAATAAAAATTATTATTTCAATAAATTGGGGGGTGGGGGATTACTTAAGTGCCTTTAAAGATGGAAGAATACATTTTTATCAACATAGGTTAATTAAGGGTCCCATATTTTATCAAAATTTATAGTTGATCCCCTGAGAAAAAAATTTTTTTTATATGTTTTTAGAAACATCATTAAGTCCCTAAGCCATAATTTAGGGGATTTAGGTGACATAATTAAGCAGGTTTAACATATATTTGGGAACATGTGCCGTGTTCACATCTGCACACTTGCATAATTTCTGACGTTTTGGACAAATGTTAACAGCATCAGATTTACAATGAAAAGCTTTTATAAACCTGTTATTTTATAACCTGTTAACAAAACACTCACTTCAGTTTTCCACCGAAATAAAGGCTTGAGGGTTTAGGCATAACTTATTAGTATTCTAACTTCACTATTGTAGTGTAGAATAAATATTAAAAACATGGTTGTTGTTGTTGTTGCTATTAATATAATTGGACTTCTAGAAACAACAGTGTAAATGTGAAGAGGACTGCGATACTAACACAATTAAAAAGAGATATGCACTCTATAGTCCAGACAAAAAAGTTAATGTAAACTATGCTCAGTTTGATCACTGAAACAGTTGGTTCTTGTAAAGAGAACAGCATAAAAATCCTTAAAAGTAACTAGAAAATCAAATATGTTATAGTTCTCGCATGCTTCATTACCAAACCACACTGACGTGAGATTTGACATGTCTAACAACCCCATATTTGTTTGAGAGCCGAAGCTAAAGGCTTTTAGGAAACAATAATGTTTTGGTCTATTTCGCAAACAAAACTAACATATAGATTCAGAAGACTTGAAATATAGTACACAAGTCCTACGGACTACTCTAATGATGCTTTTTGAATCATCATAGTTATCGCTATAAACAGTCATCAGATGGAAAAGAGCAGCATGATGATTCTTCAAAAAGTCTCCTTTTATGCTGCATGAAAAAATAAGAGCATATGAGTTTGAAGAGCCAGTAAATGATGACAGAATTTGGATTCCTTTAATGCCCACATTCTGTTTAAATTGGCATAAAGTGATTTGCCTACTTGGACCTTTCTGAGGTCTTCCTGTTTAATTCAGAGCCGAAGGAGCCAGACGTCCTTATGTGAAGTCCTCAGGGAGCCAGGTTGAGCAGGTTAATGTTTCACACACACACACACACACACACACACACACATACACATACACATACACATACACACACACACACACACACACACACATACACACACACACACACACACAGAATTGGATTGTAAGCTGTATTCAGTGGCAGTGTTCAGTGGGTTGTCTGTACAGGAAACAAGCTTCTCTATCTTAATCAGCTGTACTACAAAACGCATCCACAGGGAGAGCGAAAAACGATGGCGTTCGCCACCCCCGCACGCTCTCTGATAGGCAAATAGCAGAATCAATCCCCAGTAGGTGAGGGTGATTAGATATGATTTCGGTAATGAGATCCCTTTGAAACTGTCAAATGGAGGCTGTTTCATACGAGGAATTATCACCTGAAGTAGTCGCACCATTTACGAAGACATGTCCCCTACTTTTAACCCCCTTACGAATGAGCGCTCACCAATTAGTGCATTTTAAACGCCCACTCAGGAAGACCAGAAGTGAGGGAGAAACTCATTCTTATCTTTCTAAAGGACTAAAGTGTTTTGGTCCTCAGTCCTCACCTAGCAACGGAGTTTCAAGCATAAAATGCTGATTTTATTTCCCACTGTCTGTCTAAATGGCGTATTTAGCTCATGTGTACATTTAGGTGCTGCAGCATTCACAATGTACTTTGGTTTTGCAGTCAACATCATTAAAGAAAGCACTGAACACTCTTTCAAATGATCAGTTACAAATATTCAATCCAGTAGTTTTCTGCAGGAAATGCACATGGCATGAAAAACAGACAGACAGGCACTAATACCATCTGAGGTGTAAAAACATCAACAAGACATGTCCCCTACTTTTAACCCCCTTACGAATGAGCGCTCACCAATTAGTGCATTTTAAACGCCCACTCAGGAAGACCAGAAGTGAGGGAGAAACTCATTCTTATCTTTCTAAAGGACTAAAGTGTTTTGGTCCTCAGTCCTCACCTAGCAACGGAGTTTCAAGCATAAAATGCTGATTTTATTTCCCACTGTCTGTCTAAATGGCGTATTTAGCTCATGTGTACATTTAGGTGCTGCAGCATTCACAATGTACTTTGGTTTTGCAGTCAACATCATTAAAGAAAGCACTGAACACTCTTTCAAATGATCAGTTACAAATATTCAATCCAGTAGTTTTCTGCAGGAAATGCACATGGCATGAAAAACAGACAGACAGGCACTAATACCATCTGAGGTGTAAAAACATCAACACATGAGATAGACAGAACACAAGCATGCACAAACCCAAACACTTGTCACTTCGTCTTTTGTTGTCTGTAAAATGGCTGTTGGAGTCAAAGAGATCAAAATGTGACCAGACTGCATAAAACAACTATGCAAAACAGAGACTGGCTTAAAACGTGGCGTGCTGCCTAGAAAGACAGCATTTGTGGGCATCACAAAGAGTTTTAAAACAGCCAAAATGTACAATACTAATGCTCACTTCTCATACTAACAATAATACTAATACTATGGTAACAGTTTACTAATCACACAGACACCAACACTAATAAATGCCCATATAAATGTTTGTTAACACTTTACTTGCAACCTTTATGTGTAATGCATTTTAATATTCATGTAAATGCTGTAATGCATTATCTATTTTCATTGTAGTTGTAGGTTAAAATGCATTTTATTTTCACATTTGTTATATCTGAAATTGGTTGTTTGTTAAGTGTTTTAATGCATCACATTTTCTGTTTAATAGTGAATAGATTAATAAGTATGTGTATTGTATTATAAATGTAGTTAGCCTACCAATGTCCATACTAGCATGCATACTAATACTATTTTATACCAACTGGAATACTTACTATATGTTCATACTAATACTAACAGCATACTAATACACACTCTTACTCAATCTAATGCTAATACTCTGGCTTTTATTAATATCAATACTGTCTGTAAAAAGGCTGTTGAAGTCAAAGAGATCAAAGTGTGACCAGACTGCATGAAACAACCACACAAGACAGGATAAACACAGTCTGTGTCTCAAAACCTAGTGTGCTGCCTAGCAAGACACTATTTGTGGGCATCACAAGATGCTTAATAAGTTTTAAGACTGCCAGAATTATACTAATGCTCACGTTGATCCTAATACTAGTATGGTAACAGTCTACTAATAATCCTAATAACACTAGTAGCTACTGATGCTCATCATAATACTAATTATATTACTAAAACGAATACAAAAACTAATAGCATTCCAATTATCTTATTAACATCGATGTCTATTAGTGACATAACCAATACCATTAGGTTACTAATGTATACTATACTATACTATACTGTCGTTAGGCTATACACACACTAAAACTATTGCTATTTCTAACCTAATTTGGAACACTTAGTGTATTCTCACACTAATACTAATAATAGTAAGCTTTTGCTGTTGGCAAAAGGGCTGTTAAAGTCAAAGACATCAAAATGTGACCAGACTGCCTAAAACAACTACGCAAGGCAGGATAAATAGAGGCTGTTTAAAAACCTAGTGTGCTGCCTAGCTAGACAGCATTTAATACGTTTTAAGACACAGCCAGGATGTACAATACATACTCATCATACTAATGCTCACACTGATACTAACACTATTAATAGCTACTAATGCTCATTATAATACTAGTGATATAGGCTATTACTAAAACTACTACCAGTACTAACAGCATTTAAATTGTCTTACGAATTGATATAACCAATACCAGTAGGTTACACATGCTCCTATACTAATATACTATGGCTATTATTAATGCAAATTGTATACTTAATGTATACTCATACTACGTACTATTATGCTATACTCACACTAATGCTATTGCTGATACTAATGTGATTCCCTGTGCAGTGCTCATATGCAGTTATTTAAGCGTGTGTCGTTGTTAAAGCACGCATGCAAACATAAGCTGAGGAGTTGAAGTTGCTCTACCTGTCGTCGGTCTGCCAGTCCCCGAGCAACAGGTCTCGGAACCGGTACCGTGGCGGCAGCGGCAGAACCTCCTTCTCCAGCTCCACCATAGTCACTCAGCAAAGCGCACAAACCGACGCGGCGTGGAAATGCCAACGCCTTCGCCCTCGTTTATCCCTCCGCCGTGATTGTTTCTGGTCGCTCGCGTACAGAAAGTGTTGTCATCACTCAGGAACGAGGGACACGGGTCTAGATCCACTATCACAGCAGCGACTGAGCAACTGGTGCCTCCCTGAGCTCAGCAGCTGAGACGAGACACAGAGCCTGTCTGGACATCCCGTCCACTGCTGACACAAGCGGGTTCACATCAGCTGAAGCAGTTGCCAGTTATTGCTGCAGTGCATTATTTCACCATTGTCCTGTATTGATTGAGGCATGTGCTATTTTGAGGGGTGGGAGAGTTCATTTTTTTATAATACATGTACTTGCAACCCGCTTGCAGTCATTTCGTCTGCTGCATTGTTGGAAAATGCATGAGAAAAGTCGACAACTCCGCTTTTTGCCTGATATGTCAATCAAAAAAGCATGCAGGTGATGAGAAACCTCATTTTTGTCACTGCCATAAATTATCCATTTCACAAGACTTTACCAAGTATAGTGCAGTGAATTACACACTCAAACTGGAGAATGGGATAGGTTCGCAAATAAGCAGCTGTTGCGGTGTTTGACATGCTTGATCCGCATGCATATGCAGTTTGCACAATAATGCAATTATAATCAAAGAAGTGAAATTGTGTTGTCACATTCGATTTCAACCCTGGAACAGAATCCAGCCTTCAGTGCAGCTCTGATGCTGTAATACAGGGAGATTTTGAGCGCTCTGCCCCCTAGCGGCTGCCTGCGGAAGAAGACCAATAAATCAATCGCGTTTAGCCCCTGAAAGGTTTAATATACCCTCAATCTCAACCTTTAAAGGTTTTGATGGGTTTTTTACAGGCACATCTGTTCAGTTGTGGCGTTAGAGAGATTCTCATCAAACAACACAATAACAGAACATTCAGGGAAAGGCTAAGGTGATGTTATCAGATAATACCATGGTACACATATACACTACCATTCAAATGTTTGAGCATTTTTAAATACCGGTACTCCTATTCAGTAAGGATGCAATAAATTGATCAAAAATGACAGTAAATACAATTATAATGTTACAAAAGATTTATATTTTAATGCTGTTATTTTGAACTGTCTATTCATTATAAAATGCTGAAAAAATGTATCAAGGTTTCCAGAAAAAAAAGTGCAAATGGTTTCAACATTGATAATAATAAGAAAAGCTTAATCAGATCAACATCTCAGAATGATTTCTGAAGGATCATGTAACACTGAAGACTGGAGTAATGATGCTGAAAATTCAGCTTTACATCACTGGACTTAAAGGGGTCATATGATGCGATTTCAAGTTTTCCTTTCTCTTTGGAGTGTTACAAGCTCTTGGTGCATAAAGAAGATCTGTAAAGTTGCAAAGACTAAAGTCTCATTGACAATTGTATGTGCAGGTATATTACAATAGACAGTTTATGTACACTGTAATAGAAAGGGATGTCAACAGAAATCCATCACTTACTGCTGTTCGAGTCGGGAAAACACAGTCGAACATATCACAGCCCAAGGCAACGCAGACCACCAGGTCTAGTGCATAGCTAAAACACATAAACAGACTTAACACTTGCGAATAATGATGAAAAAGCAGAGTTTCAGAGGAAGTGGGGCTTACCCGACTCCCATGAGGTAGCGGGGCTTTTCTCTGGGGAGGTGGTCTGTGCTCAGAGTCACCATCTTCCAGAAGTCATCCTTTTCTTCTCCCCCACTCAAGCCTCCAATGGCGAAGCCTGGCACATCACGCTTGGTCATTTCTGAGTGAGGAAACGGAACAGATAGGTTCTAGTAAGGTGTATCGTAATTATGATTAATGCTTCAGGTTTGTGTTTGTCACTTGTTAATGGATCATGTTCATCATTAATGTGAAAACTACATCTGTGAGGAGAACTGACTTCATACATCCACTAAAAATCACTGTGACACCAGCTGGTTAAAAGTCTTTGCAAAAAGGGTTCCGAAAATTAAAGTTTGTTCTGAGAAGCATTTTTTTTTTCGGTTTGATATTTTGTCTCTAATAATGTCGTAATGCTATTCTGAAGTGTGACTTAAGTTCAACAGTTTGGGGATTTTTAATGTTTTTGGAAAATCTTTTATGCTCACCAAGGCTGCATTTATCTGATAAAAAAAATAGAGTAAAACAGTAATTCTGTGAAATATTAAGGTTTAAGCTGTTGTCTATCTGCATATATTGAAATTTCTTCCTGTGAAGACAAATCTGAATTTTCAGTATCTTTACTCCAGTATGAAGTGTCACATGATCCTTCAGAAATCATTCTAATATGCTGCTTTATTATTAGAATTATCAATGTTGGCAACAGTTGTGCTGCCAAATATTTCTTTGGAAACTGCGGTACTTTTTTCAGGATTCTTTGATGAATAAAAAGTTAAAAAGATCACAGGAATAAATTAGATTTTAATGTATATTTCAATAGAACATTTTTATTTTAAATCATAATAATATTTCACAATATAAACATTTTTCCTGTATTTTTGATCAAATAAATGCAGCCTTGATGAGCATACTGTAAAAAACATAAAAAATCGTTCTGATCCCAAACTTTTGACCGATAGTGTATGTCTTTAATCTCACTTTTGATCAACTTAATGTGTCCTTGTTAAATAAAAGTATGAATTTCTTAAAAAAAAAAAAAAAAATCGTACTGACCTGAACCTCAGTTGAACGGTCGTGTATTTTAATAGGATTTTACACTGCTAATGCAATACTGCCACATCATAACAGACACACTTTTGATGTCCAGTGATCACATGCAGTCACACAGCGCTTACCGTCTAAACAGGCCTTGCGCAGTTTGGCATCAAGCCCCCCTTGAATAATGGCGAACAGGTTCTGTCGATCTGGATTCTTATTTGCTGCGATGCAGCGGTCCAGCCAGCGCACAGAGCGGTGCATGGCCTCCTCCACCCGCGGCCCTTTCACCGTACTGCTGACCACGTCATCCAGCTGCATCATGATGTCTGAACCTGCACACGTTGCAGAGTCACAGAGATTTCAATGAGCATTTGTTGAATGCTCATGTTAAGAGATCTGTAACATGATTCATACCCAGGCTGTTCTGTATGGCGATGGACTGCTCAGGAGTGAGCAGGATTTCCTTCCCATCATAAGGGGAACAGAACTTGACGCCCTCCTCCGTCACCTCCGACAGCTCCACTAGAGACACCATCTGAAACCCGCCACTGTCCTATTAAAAGAAACACAGGTGAAACACAGAACTTGCAGTTCTTGAAATTCCTGGACAAAATGAACAGTGCCGAGTATATTACTTACAAATTATAGTCTGTTACTGATTACAGATTACATGATGAGAATTTTAGTTAGTAACCTGATCTATTAGATTACATATATTCTGACTGCTTTTTTACTTTTGACAACTTGTTCGAATGAGAATATTTTGAACAATGTTGATATAAAAATACAAAGAGAAAAAAATTATATTCTCTTCTTTATTATGAACAACATGAAGTGCATTAAACATCAGGGTTTTCCAAACTGGGGTTCGTGAAGGAACTGCAAGGGGTTCGTGAGTTGTTGAAAAATTAATTAATTATCTGGTAAAACTGTAAACCTAAAAAAATTACACTAATGAACACTAATATTGTATCTGTTTACCTGCATAACAGTGTGACTATTAACATCAGAGAACAGTGAACATGCAAAATGTGTTGTTAAATTATTGTAATAGTAACTTAAAATCTATTTTAAGTATTTACTATTCAAATAGTAACTTTTTTTAAATAAATGTTTTAGGTCAAAATAATGTGTGAATAAAAAGTAATCATACTGTATAAAAATAATCTGATTATATGCACTTTAAAATGTAATCTAATTACAAGCATGTAATTTTTGGAATCTGATTACCTAATCCATATTACATGTAAACAGTTACTATTCAGCAATGAAAATTAATCATGGCTCATTAAATTAAAATATCATTACTCTGTTTCTGCCTATTAAAAAAAAAAAAGGTTTGAAAACAAACAACTTTGTCACAATTACATTAGAAATACTGGGGTCATCACATCAAAAAGTTGAGAACCACTGGTCTTCTTAATTTCCAAGGCCTTTCCAGGAAGTCATTATTACTAGAGAAGATATCTGTACATTATTTTATAGAAACCGTTGGGGCAAATTTATTTTATTTTTACTAGTAGTAGTAGTATGTAAATATTTCCGATGAGACTTCAACTGGACAGACTGGTGTTTCATGCTGGCTTGATAATATTTACAATAAAAACAGAATATTTTTTAAGACTTTAGTCATTTCCATAACTTTTCCAATCTGCTCTATCCATCAAACGGACACTCTGCGAAATCTGCATAAGCAGCGCGTGAAATACACAAATAATCGTATCCTACATTTTACTATTACTACTTCTTCTGGTGTTTGGGAATAGTTTGAAAAGAAGAAAAAGAAGGAGAAGAAGAATTACCGTTAAGAGATTTCTATTCCACATCATAAATCCATGCAATCCATTGGCTTTCTCTATTAACTCGGGACCCTGTTAGGGACACAATCACAGTTAGGTAAGTTTAAAACATTGTGCATTGATGAAACACTTTGACAATTTAAAGCGTTTCTTCGCTCATACCGGCCTCATGCCCAGATGATACGTGTTTCCCAGGCATATCTGACAGTCCAGATCCTCCAGCTGGTCCACAGTGATGCCTTTCAGGGTACCCTGAGTGCCCACGGGCATAAACACCGGGGCGTAGACAGCGCAGTGCGGGAGAGTAAGAGTGCAGGCTCTCGCCTTACTCACGGGGCACTCCGCCACGATACGAAGAGCGAGAGGAGCAGCAGAGGACACAGCCTTCACTGATGCCATACTGTCTTCACACTCATGTGTGCTGCTGGGTATGGGCGCAGCCATTTTGAATAAAGATGTCCGATTCACTTGGGAGTCGTTCATTTGAGTCGGATCTTTTTGATGAACCAATACAAAAACCGCTCAGGGGTGCGTTTACCAAAAGCAACTAGGCTGCGTTCAGCTCCGACAAAACGGTGCAAAACGTTTTTTAAACGGAAACGGTGGTGCGTTGAACACCCTGTTCTGATAACGCAAGAGTAGCAACTATGGCAGCTGAGAAGGCCATGCTTTGTGTTCTTCTTGAAGAATTTTTGGAGCCTGATGAAATCAGTATAAATACGTGTTTAATACTGCAAAATATGCTCAATGTTACAGTCATTGCCCTGGCCCTCCAGAATAAAAGAGAACATCCCAATCGAGTGAAGGGATTTGTGGAAACTGTGGTTCCTAATTATTGTGATCCAACATTTGCCTCGCATTTCAGGATGAAAAGACAAACATTTCAGGTGAAGGATAATCCACTTCTTACCTCCGAGACTGTGTTATGATCTATATGACCTTATTATTTTTATTGTGAATAACACCCACCAAACAAGAGAAAACGCATCTCAAACCCCTTTCCAGGAAACATCTTTCAAACCGGAAACCGTAGCAAAACATTGCGCACCGGTTTGAGCTTGAACTTGCCCCAGTTCATCGTTCTAAAATAGGTGTAATGTTGCACGATTCTGCTTAAATATCGCATTTTTCTACTAGTCGATATACAGTATAACAAACTGGAGAGCCCAAACAATGTCTTAATAATGCTCTAATACTTAGAAAATTATGATTCAAATTTATAAAATTGAAATACGTTTAATTTACTCATGTTGATCTTGCAGTAATTATACATGCATATTATTATTAAAATCAGAATTATAATTTTTATTGTCTATACCCCTACGTTCAAGTCTTTTCATTGAAACGAAATTGACACGTGAGCCGACCAATAGCACTCCGTCGGTCGTTTGCGGCAGAAACGAAGATCGAGCCAATCAAAAGACAGAACACACCAGGAGGCGTTCCGTCGGACCAATCGGATTTCACGACATCTGTTGACAGGAGGCGGGACTCGCGTCACCGGTGGAGGTCGGATGTCGCCTGACCGGATGATAGCGAGAAGTTTTGTTTTGTGAGTTTACGAATGATTGATCCTCAGATCAGCGCACGGATCTTAACGAATGCGCCCTAATACGCGGCATCTGCCCGTCAGCGAGTGTTTGATCAGTTGTTTGTCTTTGACGGACTGATCTGGAAGTGTTTGAAGGGTGCAAACTGAACACTTGGAAGTAACCCGAGCCCGTTCCTGCGCGCTGAGAGACGGTCAGAAACCATGGGCAACCGGGGGATGGAGGATTTGATCCCCCTGATCAATAAACTCCAAGATGCTTTCAGTTCCATTGGCCAAAGTTGTAACTTGGATCTGCCGCAGATAGCCGTGGTCGGAGGACAGAGCGCCGGAAAAAGCTCGGTGCTGGAAAATTTCGTCGGCAGGTTGGTTACTATGTTACCCATTTCTCTTCGATCGCTTGCAAAAGCCCAACTCGCGGTATTTGTGTTTATCTAACTTAATAAGAAGACAAACGTCTCATTTGTTACTTCCCAGCTTTGTTTTTATACTCGCTGCTCGATAGATTCACTCGTTTGGGTTGTCATTCACAAACGGGAGTTACGCAGTTGACGTAAGCCGCCGCTCGCCGTCACTCATTGAAGTGAAATGGTCGTAAAGTGAGAGCGCAGCGCAAAATGGGGAAGTTGGCGGCACAGTACACACACACACACACAGAGAGAGAGAGACAGACAGACAGACAGATGAAGTTAAAGTCGTAGTGTCCTTGGGAGTTGTATTGTTCCATATAGGGGAATCAAAACCAATAAGATATTCATCTGCTGTGTTTAAGGCGTTTAAGTCATTTCCTCGTTCAAGCAGCGAATACACTGACACTTCTCTGGACGTTGACGTCATGCTTTTTGTGTACACGTCCTTATAGAAAACTCTGCCTTGGAAGTGGAAATAGCACTGTAGTTTAATATATAATGTGCTACTAAATGATACATGTATCGTGATATTTGCATAATCCTCCTGGTAATGTTCACTTTTGAAGGTTATTAGATTATCATTATTGTAATACACTTCTATTTGTTCTACTTTAATCCAAATAATTTGTAGTCTGTACAACCACATATAAATACTTTGCAATTTAAATAAAATATCAATATTATTTCCACATTACTGTGATGAGATTATTCTCATAGAAAAAAAAGTTTTAAAATAAAAAATAAATTAAAAAATCATTCAAAAGTAAACATTGCAATAATGCATTACAGTCTCTCTCTCTCTCTCTCTGTTCACACTCACACACACACACACACACACACATGTCTGGTCAGCTATCCTTGTGGGGACTCTCCATAGGCGTAATGGTTTTTCTACTGTACAGACTGTATATTCTATTGTCCTACACCAACCCTACCCCTAAACCTACCCCTCACAGGAAACTTTGTGCATTTTTAGATTTTCAAAAAACTTTATTCTGTGTGATTTATTAGCTTGTTTACCCGTGGGGACCTCAATTTAGGTCCCCACCGTGACACGAGTCCCCATGCGTCTGTGTGTATTCAGGTTTAAGTCCCCCACCAGAATTGAAAAACAGGTACACACACACACACACACACATATATCAGAATAATTTGTAGGCTGTACAATCACATGTAAAGACCTTTTGCAATTTAAATGAAACATTAATATTATTTCCACATTATAATAATACGAATACTGTAAAAAATTTTGCACTAAAAAAACTGATTATAATATCCTATATACGAACTGTTCGTTCCTACCTACATAGTATAATACTTTAGATTTATAAAAGGAATACATACTATTATTCTTAATGTAGTAATATCTGCACATTTCAAATCAGTACTGTCTACAGGTACTTATCTTCTGAAAAATAGGTAGAATGAACTGTGTGTATACAGGTGAGAGTGAAATCACCTGTTTTGCAGTATTCATAGGTCAGTGCCACAGCAGACTCCAGCACTGACAGGCCTCTCATGAAGCCCTGTTCAGTCTCATCTGGGAGAGGAAGTCATGCTTGGACAGATGATGTTTGTTACTGTCGGTTTTCCTTTGGCATCAGATTAGTTTGTGACCTGTACCTTCCTGCATTCATTTCCTCACCACAGTCTTCTTGATGCGGCTGCTCTGTCTCCGGTCCAGTTTGAATTAATTTTGTTTTGATGTTTAGCAGAGGAAGAAGTATGAGTCGATTGGCTGAAATGTAGTTTTCATTGCCCATGGATGGATGCGGATGTTCATCTCTGGAGAGCTTGTGAATGCATGTATTAATTTTCATCAGTGAAGCTGATTAGTCTTTTTTTTGACCAGAGTATGTCTCCATTTTGAGATTATTAACATAAAATTTCTTCTGTTTGTCGTTCTGAAATCTACCGATAGTCTTGTTGATGGATTATATATTTTTTTGGTGAATTTTGTGTTAATTTCATTTCAGAAATTGCAATGGCAAAAATGCAGTAATTAGGAAATGCTGTCAAGCCAATTCGGGTCCGTTGTTTAGCTCCGAATGCAGAACGCATGATACAAGCAGGTTTTGTATGATATTCTTGCGAGATAAGCTACAGTATTGTAATTCCTCAATGATATTATCATGCATTACCAGCTCTAGAGGTTTTTTTTTTCCTTGTGGCAAAGGATGCATAGCAACATTACCTTGGGTTTCATAATCAAGTTGAGCAGATTTGTCCATTACAGAAAAACAATCAGTCTTAGAACTGCTCTGACAGACAGTAGAAATTAGACCTAAACCATTAGGTAATCTATACAACAATACATTATTATTCAATATATATATATATATATATCAGTGCTGGGCGGTATGACCAAAAATTTATATCACGGTATTTTTAAAAATTATACCGGTTTCATGGTACATGACGGTATTTTTTTTTCATGCATGACCGGGTGTTAACCATATTTTCTACTGATTGAAAGAGGAAATACTGCAGTATATTGACTTAGAATGCCCTATTTTACTGTCATGATGAGTGAATATTGTCAAAAAATACCACACTAAATAGTGACTAAACAGCCCAGCACTAATATATATATATATATATATATATATATATGTGTGTGTGAGTATGTATGTATGTATTAATCATTTTTTTGTATGTATTATTATTATTTCTACACACTACACAAAGTGTGTAAAATATTGTCATTTTATTGTGTATTTGTAGCTATTTCTGTGGTAATTTGTTCTCTTTCATATGGCATTGTAAGGTGGTGTGGTTAAACCCACAAGCCTTCACTTTCACTGAGGGTGAAGTTCTGTAATAGTTGCCGATATTATTATCAATTTTCCTCTCATTTCATAAGTTTCATAAGCCTGAGTCATCTCCTCAGTGTTGTATATTTCTGTAGTGGCCTGAAATGTGTGGAATTGCATTTGGATTTTGGAATTTTTGTAGAATATGAAAATAAAGTGTACTTGGAACACGTCAGGTTCACTATGGACCCTTTTCACAGACTTCATGCGTTTTCCTAAGATTGTAGTGTGTGTGTGTGTGTGTGTGTTTTAATTTTGAAAACAACATTCTTTGTGTCTAATTTCCTTGGAATTAAATGACAGAAAATGGCTGATGCAGTGACAGCAAATTTGACAACTTTCTCTCTCTGACCAACATAATCAATCGCTCGTGTTCCCCAAAGTCATAGAAAAATTGGAATGCAATAATTATTAAAGTTGTAGTTTCTGTTGACCACTATAGAAGCTTACCCAACTAAGATGACTTCTGCTTCTAGAAATGTAAAAAGGGTGATATAAAACTGCACCACCAAAGCTCTATAAACAGCAAAAAAAAGCTAATAGATTTTTTTTTAAACCAAATCAGACAGGTTGACTGCCATGTCTTTGGAGGACGAGTTTCGAACTAAATGGATGAAGTCGCTTACATAATCTTTAAAAAGACTTGTTGAGCTTTAATGTGGTGAAGTGTAATAATTGTTACCCACTAGTTTCTTGCTGTATCTACGTCCATCACAAATCTCTGGCAATCATGTGGCTGTAACAGTCGCTCTGTTGTGTTTTTATGATAGAGTTAAAGGGCTTTATGTATTGCATAGATGAATCATTGTTTGATATGTGCGTGTCACACCCACAAGCTTGTGTAGGATACATGTCCTGAAAGACTTTCCATTCACATCCACTGTCCTTAATATACAGGTTCATATGGCCATGGAGAACCTGGAAATACCAGGGCATTTTAACAAGCTTTTCCTGGCCCAAAAACGTTATGAAACTTGTTTAAAGGGGTCATATGACGTTGCTAAAAAGAACATTTAAAACAAACATTATTTTGTGTATTTGGTGTAATGCAATGTGTTTATGCGGTTTAAGGTTCAAAAAACACATTATTTTCCATATAAATATGGCCATGGAGAACCTGGAAATACCAGGGCATTTTAACAAGCTTTTCCTGGCCCAAAAACGTTATGAAACTTGTTTAAACGGGTCATATGACGTTGCTAAAAAGAACATTTAAAAAAACATTATTTTGTGTATTTGGTGTAATGCAATGTGTTTATGCGGTTTAAGGTTCAAAAAACACATTATTTTCCATATAATGTACATTATTGTTTCTCCTCTATGCCCCGCCTTTCTGAAACGCGTCAATTTTTACAAAGCTCATC